GGATACCGACGCTGCGTCAGCTGTTCCTGATAGTCGTCTCCTGACGCGCTGGGGCGTCCCGAATCGTCATATATTGAGGCTTGGTCACACGCGTCATATTTTGATGCCTTGGGTGTGAGAATGTGTTGCCATAGATCTTTTTTTGACAGATTTATTGAAAGTAAAAGACAAAAATGACCAGAAGGCCTTGAACTATGAAAGCAGTAAGTGTGTTGAATACCTCATTGCTTTAATGTTTAAGTGATTTGTATTTGTATACATTCATTTGTACATATTTATATTCGTCATGTTGGGGTGTAGATGTCTAACCCACGACATACAGAGTCAGCTTGAGACGGGGAAAGTGTTTAAATAAGAATTTATTAATAGGGAAACCAAGGAAGCAACTTGAACATAGCTGAGTTCTTTCTCAAAGGGAGCTGGTGCGGGAAATCTGTGGACAGATGGGAGTTAGATCCAACTTGAAGGGGAAAACAAGGAATCTGAATTGTGCGGAGGACTTACAGCCTGGAGAGGGGGAAAAGTAGCTCGAGGGAGGAGTGGTCTGGTCTGGGCTGAGAAGGGATTCCTGAGGCTGAGATCCAGAAGGGGAGACGTGGAGGGAGCTGAGTTTGTGGAGATCCAGGGAGCTTAGGTGGGCAGCTAGAGGTGGTTCTGGACAGGGAGAAGCTGAGAGACAAGCAGGTTGGAGTTCCAGAGAATAGCCAGTCGGGGATGAAGGTGGAGGTTTGATCTGGTGAACGAGAGCAGGAAGGGTAAAATGCAAAATCCTAAAACGTCTAAAATCTCAAAAGGTCCTAAGAGCTCAACAATACTGTGAAGAGGTGGCTTAGAAGGTACCTAGGTAGAGTAATCATCCAGCGAAGTGTAGCAGTCTCTCAGCCGCTTAAATACACCTGGCCGGCTGATGAACAGATCTGCTGCAGCTTGGTCAACCTCCAGACACGCCCACCTGCAGAGGGAAAAACTCAAGAGACAGGGAGTGACAGCAGGAATACACCTCAGACGGTGACAGAATTCCTCATTGCCTTTATTTTTTATCATGTTCAGCACCTTGGGCTACCTTGACTGGTGGCGAGAAGGCTCTTTATAAATAAACAAATGAAATGGAATGAATTGGATAAAGATTTGAACAAAAGGTCATTCTTTGTCATCACAAGATCTAACCTGGTCTCCTTTCCTGTTTGACCAGCCCTTTACCAGATTGTTATTTGTGTGCCGTGCTGAAAAGGTCTGACTGGTAATTGATCTTGTGCGTGGGTGATTGGAGAATGATGCATTGTTGGTTTGCGTATCAGATGCATTTACTGGGAAACCATTTAAAAGAAGTACATTTTTATAAAGTCCATCTTTTTTGTAGTTCAAATAAAATTAAAGCTGCAAGCAGCGTCGTTCGGCCCTCGCAGCTCCGCGCCGCTCCGGCCTGGCCGGCAGCCCGGCGCACCAGGGCACGTCCGCGGAACAGAAACGTCAGCCACCCCGACACCAGAAACCGCTAACGATCACCTCGTCCACACCTCACCCCGACTCAGCATCCCCTCTGAGCCCACCATTATATTACACGTCTCACCACTAGAGCATATCTTTACGATACTGGTGGTGTGATGACACAGACCACCTGTAATGATTTTCTGGCCACGTTTTTTGAAGTTATTGTAGGTTAAAGTTATCTAGGGTGTGCTGTGACCAACTACAGAAACATCCCATTGAGGTCAGCTTTGGTTGACAAGATGTTTTTCTGTTAATTTGGCATCAATTGGACAAAGCGTGGCTTGGGGCTGCGTTTTAATGACTCTAGGGGGCACTATTTAAGGAAATAGGCCATGCCCACAAACTTCAGCTGTCTATTTCTCTTGGGGGTCAGACTAGGATCACTCACCAGACGTTTCGTAGCGATATTACGATAACTGAAGAAATGAGAGGCAAACGTATTTCCATGGCGTGATGGCGATTTTCGCCATGCTCCCAAAGCCCCACCTTTTTTAAAAACCTGCCAGTACTGGAGACCAAGTAACCTCAAGTTGTCTACTGCTGTTTGCCACAGAATCCTGGTGATTGGGTAAAAGGAGTCCAGTAGGGAGCTGTGAAAAAAGAGTGGCGTGGAGACAGGTCAAAGTTTGAGGCTTAGCCACGCCCACACCTTTCAATTTTTGAAAAATCCGACGGTTGAATTTTTTCCCCTATGTCTTAAGAGTATATAGCAGAAGTTTGAATGAGATTGGTGAAAAGGGCGACGGAGCATCACTCTCCAAACAACGTGTGCGAAAACCACTAAATCGCATACTTGGACCAAAATGGCCGACTTCCTGTGCGACTTTGCACTTGGCTCCAAGAGACTTTTTTTTTAGGTCCTGAGACACCACATTAGTGTACCAAATTTCGTATTCCTCAGTCAAAGCATGGCTTGGGGCTGACAGTTTTAATGGTCCTAGGGGGCGCTATTTCGGAAAATAGGCCACGCCCACAAATTTCAGATAACTATTTCTCTTGGGGGTCAGACTAGGATCACTCACCAGACGTTTCGTAGCGATATCACGATAACTGAAGAAATGAGAGGCAAACGTATTCCCATGGCGTGATGGCGATTTTCGCCATGCTCCCAAAGCCCCGCCTTTTTTTGAAACCTGCCAGTACTGGATACCAAGTGACCTCACGTTGTCTACTGCTATCTGCCAGAGACTCCTGCTGATTGGGTAAAAGGAGTCCAGTAGTGAGCTGTGAAATAAGAGTGGCGTGGCGAAAGGTCAAAGTTTGAGGCTTAGCCACGCCCACACCTTTCAACTTTTGAAAAATCCGACGGTTGAATTTTTCCCCCTATGTCTTAAGAGTATATAGCAGAAGTTTGAATGAGATTGGTGAAAAGGGCGACGGAGCATCACTCTCCAAACAACGTGTGCGAAAACCACTAAATCGCGTACTTGGACCAAAATGGCCGACTTCCTGTGCGACTTTGCACTTGGCTCCAAGAGACTTTTTTGTAGGTCCTGAGACACCACATTAGTGTACCAAGTTTTGTAATCCTCAGTCAAAGCATGGCTTGGGGCTATTAGTTTAAATGGTCCTAGGGGGCGCTATTTAAGAGAATAGGCCACGCCCACAAACTTCAGCTGTCTATTTGTCTTGGGGGTCAGACTAGGATCACTCACCAGAAGTTTCGTAGCGATATCACGATAACTGAAGAAATGAGAGGCAAACGTATTTCCATGGCGTGATGGCGATTTTCACCATGCTCCCAAAGCCCCGCCTTTTTTCAAAACCTGCCAGTACTGGAGACCAAGTAACCTCAAGTTGTCTACTGCTGTTTGCCACAGAATCCTGGTGATTGGGTAAAAGGAGTCCAGTAGGGAGCTGTGAAAAAAAGAGTGGGGTGGCGACAGGTCAAAGTTTGAGGCTTAGCCACGCCCACATCTTTCAACTTTTGAAAAATCCGACGGTTGAATTTTTTCCCCTATGTCTTAAGAGTATATAGCACAAGTTTGAAGGAGATTGGTGAAAAGGGCGACGGAGCATCACTCTCCAAACAACGTGTGCGAAAACCACTAAATTGCGTACTTGGACCAAAATGGCCGACTTCCTGTGCGACTTTGCACTTGGCTCCAAGAGACTTTTTTGTAGGTCCTGAGACACCACATTAGTGTACCAAATTTCGTAATCCTCAGTCAAAGCATGGCTTGGGGCTGACAGTTTGTATGGTCCTATGGGGCGCTATTTCAGAAAATAGGCCACGCCCACCGGATGTTCACATCAGATTTTTTGAGGGACTGGACTAGGATCACTCACAAGAAGTTTCGTGACGATATCTTTAGAAATGACGAAATGGGAGGCAAACGTAAGGCCACGGCGGTACGCCTGACTTCGCCGCGCCGCCACAGCCCCGCCCTCTGCCGAAAACTCCCATAAAGTGACGCCAAGCAACCCCCACTTGTCTTCAGTTACCAGCTACAAATTTGTAGTGATTAAGTGAAATGGGGCAATTTGAGACCTTTCACAGTAAAACTTGACGTTTTTGGTCCTGAGGGGGCGGGGCTTGTGTGATGTCATCAATCGACCATTCAAATTACTTTGTGGGTTGATGACGAATGACCACAGAAAGTGTGGTAACTCTATTTTATTCAATTATGAAGTTATAGCAATTAAAATTTTTTTGGCGAGTAGTCTAACTTCGAGGCCTGGCCCCGCCCCTTCAACATATACGAAAACTCAGAATCCTTGTCTCATTTTGTTCGCCCATCTCTTCTGAGCAAATTTACACCACTTTTGAGACGATCGTGCGAAAAATGATCGAGCAATCCAATCAGAAACGGACCCTAAAAACGGCAAAAACGGCAAAAAATCGCCATTTCAACCCAAAATGGCCGACTTCCTGTTTGATATTGACCATGCTTGCATGAGACTTTTCTGTGCGGACTGTTGAGTACTACAAGTGTACCAAATTTCATATATGTACGATAAACTAAGCTTTATGGAGAGGGTTTTTTTTCACTTTGTAGGGGGCGCTGTTCAGCCATTTTCTTTGCGATTTTTTTGGGACCTTTAAAATATCAAATTTTGCTCCAGGCCTGACATTTGTGCAAAATATTGTGAGTTTTGGGGTATGTTAAGGTCCCCAAAAAGCCGTTCAAAGCGGGCTAAGAATAATAAATAAAAAAGAATAAACAGAGCAAAAATACAAGAGGCCTTCGCAGCGCTTTCGCTGCTCGGGCCTAACTATATAATTTTATCAAAGCATGAAAAAAATAAATCACATTGAACACGTGAGTTTAGCTCATGAATTCAAAATCAGTGCTTGCCTTGGCAAAACTGATTTGCAGATCCTGTCATCCTGAGGTTTATTAGACCCACAGAGATATGGTGATACCTCAGAGCAAAGCTGAAATGGAGCCATATGGAAGCAAAACAACGAGGGAGGGAGGGAGCCCGAGAGCGGGACTCCTGCGCTGATCAGCGCTGTGCGATGCAGAAAGCAGAAGAGAGAAAGGAGGTGGAGAGAAAGGAGGAGCAAAACCGAGAACAGACTGGCCGAGGCTCACAGCTCTCAGTCTCTTCACAGAGCTTTGCAGAGCAGCTTCTCTTGGCTTCCTGACTCTTCTTCACATGCGAGGGCTTTCATAGACTTGTGCCTGAGCAGAAGGATAGAAAGGCTGCAGCAGAGGGAGTCACTCACTCCAACTCCTGCACCATGTTACCATGGAGGAGGAACAAGTTTGTTCTAGTGGAAGATGAAGGTAAGAGTAAGCCCAAGAGTCTGGGGAGTGGGCTGACCTACCACTCCATCCTCTCTTCCCTGCTGCGCTCCTGTCCTGACTCGCTGCCTGACTGGCCCTTTGACTGGGTGGGCAACATCTTTCATACCAAACGGCAAAAGGTGGAACTGAACAAGGAGGAGCCTGTTTACAGTGTTCGCTACCTCGGGAGTGTGGTCACCATCACGGCTAAAGGAGAGGGCTGCACCCAGGAGGCAGTGGCCAAAATCTGGGCGAGGAGCAACTACGGAGAACAAAGTGTCAAGATGAGGTTGACCGTGGGGTCACAAGGCATCCGAATGAGTTCTGACAAATTGGGGAAAAAGAAACCCCTCCATCGATACTACCTGAACAGAATCACTCACTGCGCAGCTGACCCAGGTCGGCCCAAAATCCTTGCTTGGATCTACAGGCACCAGGTCAAGAACATGGCTGTGGTGCTCAGGTGTCATGCCGTCCTGGTCAGCAAGTCGGGGAAGGCTCAAGCCATCGCCCACAGTCTCTATCAGAATGCCACCTCCGCCTTCAGCGAGTTTAAACGGCTGAAGCGTCAGAGCGACTTCCGGCACTGCCAGCAGCAGCTGCTGGGAGAGGAAGCGGTACCGCTGATGCCGCTGAGGAGGCTGCTGAACGGGCAGTGCCACTACAGACCGCCTGCTGAGAACCCTAGCAGCGCTACCCGCCTCTGCTCCATCACAGAAGAGGAGGAGGCGGAGGAGAATGATGAAAAAATGATCAGCGATGGGAAGGAGGTGATGGAGGAGGCACAGGAGGAGCATCGGGAGAAACAGAAGATCCTGACAACAAACACGGACCCAACTCAGCTGCTGTCAGAGCTGGACATTGGGGACATTGCTCGTCTGGAGCAATGCCAAATCAACTTCGTCAGTGACAGCAACAACAACACGTTTAGCTTTATCACCTCTCTGGTGTGACTGTGTTATGGTGCTGCTGTTGATGAGAACATTCCTCTGTTTGCCCTCCACTCAGGCTCCCTCCACCCTGATCTATGTGTTTACCAGAAACGTTTCTGACCACAGGGTGGGGGGAGAGACACACCATCCTTCTGTAGGACTGAGCTCTGCTCTTGACTGTAGCGGTTTGGGAAGCTGCTTGTTTACAAATGAGAGCTGATGAAGATGATGAGGCACAGACCGGCCAGAGCACAATGACCAGCAGTACCATGAGAGAACACCCAGGAGCGCCAACTCTGGGATGGTTTGGATCACAGCAGGATGGATTTAAGTCCCGTGTCCGTCTGAGTCTTTGTTACTAAAACAAAAGTTGTGTTTGACAGCGGGGACATTTGTCTGAATCAATAGTTTTTCAGGGAGGTTCTTTGTAAATTTGTACATTTTTCTAATCTGACAATCCTCACTGAAACGGTTCTGACTGTGAGAGTTTTATTACAGTTTTACTAACGATCAGCACCGACTAAAAATAAGGCAATCATTTAGGAGGCAAGCCATTGAGTTTATAACTTTATTGCTGTCATTTGCTTCAGCCCTTCTTTATGCATGCCATTTCGGCAGTACCGCTTCTGTTTTTTTTATCTCAATTTCCTTCACATTTCAAGGAAGAAACACTGTGATTAATGTCCAACCAGGTAAAAACACCCAACTCCACATGAAGCACCTTCTGTCCTATTTAAAACACAGCTGAGTTGATTTTTGTTCATTTACAGAAAAAACCTGTTCCTAGTGAAGGTTTCCTGCTTTTGCAACAACACTCTCACACTTTCACACAAACCTCTCTGTGCTTAGCGTGTGTCCCTGCTTCATTGTGATTGTTAAAATGTGAAGCTATTTATTTTGCAAAAGTGATTAATAAAAGCTGCACTCACTTGGGTTTCCCTTCTTAGATCTCAGAGGAGAGGAAGAGTATTTCTAGATGCTATCAAAGACATTATTCAAATAAATGTATCAGCTCTGTTCCTCTGGTGCACATTAGCATGCTTGTGATGTGAAATGCACAACCTACATTACACACACACACACACACACACGCACGCGCACGCGCACGCGCGTGCACACACACACACACACACACACACACACACACACACACACACAATCTGCACCATGAAATATAAAAAGGAATTTTTTTTGCCTCGAGAGAGAAAATCTGGAGGCCTTGGGCTCACTTTCGATCACTTCACTGTGAGGTGAACAAATAATCAGCAATCTGAAATGTTCAGAGAAGGAACATAAAGCACCTGCCTCAATTCAGTCTTAGTTGTTTTGTTTCCCTTTGTCTGCTCCAACAGGATACTTCTGCAGCATGTTTTTGTTTTGTGGGGAACAGATGTATGCTAGACCATCTGACCTAATGCTAAATGCCCTCCCAATAGAGTCAGTGGGGGTTAGGGTCAAGGAAATGTGTCAAGCTCAGCAGTTCAGATTAGGCAACACAAGAAGTCAAAATAAACCACAGAACGCTGCCGTCTTTCTTTTTGCTTGCAATCGTGTCAACTGCTGGAATCAGTTCAGTTAATTTCCATAAAATGTATTTATATAGCTCCAACAAGAGTTGTCTCAACTGCATCTACTTATCAGTGCATTAAATTCAGTTCATTAAGCCAGTCAGTTACAGTTTTCTGTGTAAAATAACCCATCAGATTGCATGGAGTCATTCAATTCAATTCAATTCAATTCAATTCAATTTAATTCAAAAATACTTTATTAATCCCAGAGGGAAATTGATTGCTGTAGTAGCTCAGAATAATAATAATAATCAAGTCATCAAAGAGTTGTTGTATATTACAATGGCTGTTGGCAGGAAGGATCTCCAGTAGCGGTCAGTGTTGCAGCCAAACTGAAGAAGCCTCTGACTGAAGACACTCTTCCGTTGTCGGACAGTCTTGTGAAGAGAATGCTCAGGGTTGTCCATCATTTTCTTGATTCTCTGGAGAATCCTTCTTTACATTATCTCCTCCAGTGGTTCCACAGTGGTTCCCTGCTTCTGATGCTGCTACCCCAACAGACGATGGCTGAAGAGATTACACTCTCAACAACAGACTTGTAGAAGATCTGCAGCACCTTGCTACAGACATTGAAGGACCTAAGCATCCTCAAGAAGTGCAGTCTGCTGTGTCCCTTCTTGTAAATGGCTTCGCTGTTCTTTCTCCAGTCCAGTCTGTTGTCCAGGTGAACTCCAAGGTATTTGTATTCCTCAACCACCTCCACTTCTTCTCCCATGATGGAAACAGTGCTTGACTCCACCCTGTTTCTTCTGAAGTCTAAAATCATCTCCTTTGTTTTGTTCACGTTCAAGGTCAGATGATTGTTTCCACACCATGCCACAAAGCACTCCACCAGCTCTCTGTACTCAGCTTCCTGTCCATCTCTGATACACCCGACAACTGCAGAGTCATCTGAGTATTTCTGTAGATGACAGGTCTCTGATTTGTACTGGAAATCTGAGGTGTACAGGGTGAAAAGGAATGGTGAGAGTACGGTCCCCTGTGGTGCTCCAATGTTACTGATCGCCTGGTTTGATGTGCAGTTCTTCAGTCTCACAAACTGTGGTCTGTTTGTCAGGTAGTCTTTAATCCAGGCGATAGTTGAGGCCCCCACCTGTGTCTTCTGGAGTTTCTGGCAAAGTACATCAGGATGAATTGTGTTAAATGCACTGGAGAAAAGAACATGACCCTCATAGTGCTGCCCGCTTTGTCCAGATTACAGTGGGTTGGTTGAAGCAGCTGGATGATGGCATCTTCAACTCCAGCTTCATGGCGATAAGCAAACTGCAGCGGGTCCTGATATGTTCTAGTTTGCTTATTCAGGTGGACCAACAGGAGTCTCTCCAGGACCTTCATGATGTGGGATGTCAGGGCAACCGGTCTGTAGTCATCATTGACTGATGGGCGAGTTTTCTTTGGAACTGGAACAAGGCAGGATGTCTTCCACAGGACTGGAACCTTCTCCTGGGCCAGGCTGAGGTTGAAGAGGTGCTGCAGAATCCCACAGAGCTGCTCTGCACAGGCCTTCAGTACCCCGGGGCTTCAGAGGAGGATGGGATGTCTGATTGGCTGGGGACAGGCGAGGAGGATGCTGGGTTTGTTCCTGAACCGAACCTATTGAAGAACTTGTTCAGTTCATTGGCTGTGTCCAGGCTGCCATCTGTACAATCCTTCCTCTGCTTGAAGCCTGTGATCTTCTTCATCCCTGACCAGACATCTCTGATATTGTTCCTCTGTAGTTTGTTCTCCAACTTCTTCCTGTATGCCTCCTTGCTGTCTCTGATCTTGATCTTCAGTTGCTTCTGTATACTCCTCAATAATTCCCTGTCTCCCTCTTTGAAGGCTCGTTTTTTTCTCATTTAGCAGATTCTTCAGTTCACTGGTGATCCAGTGTTTGTTATTAGCGACGCATCTCACTGTTCTCGTGGGTATGATGTTGTCCATACAGAAGTTTATATAGTCAGTGACACATCCAGTCATGGCATTGATGTCCTCTTCAAATCCTTGGCAGAGAGTCATCCAATCTGTGGTCTCAAAACAACCCCGCAGGGCTTCATCAGCGTCCTGTGACCATTTTCTCACAGTTCTTCTTGTCACAGGTTGCCTCTGAACAAGTGGTTTGTATTCTGAGCAGAGGAAAACAAGATTGTGATCTGATTGTCCCAGAGGAGGTCTTGTTTTGGACATGTATGCATTCTTTACATTTGCATAACACAAATCCAATGTCTTGTTTTCTCAGGTGGAGCAGCTGACAAACTGTTGAAATGTTGGAAGTGTAGCAGAGAACGAGGCATGATTAAAATCACCAGATATAGCCACAAATGCATTGGGGTGCTGGGTTTGTGGCTTAGCAACAATGGAACTGATGGCATCACATGCATTTTCAGCAATGGCTGAAGGTGGAATATAAATGGTTGCAGACAACACTGGTGAACTCTCTTGGCAAATAATATGGGCGACAACTTACTGCCAAGAGTTCAACATCTAGGCTGCAGAGACAACATTTCACTGAAACATGACCTGGATGGCACCATCTGTTGTTGGCATGCACTGCCACTCCACCTCCTTTTCATTTCCCGCTCCTCTTCAGATATCTGTCTGTTCGTACAGTCAGGAATCCTGGCAGAGAGACCCTGGAATTGGGGATATGGTCCTGCAGCCACGTCTCAGTGAAACACATAACACTGCACTGCCGATACTCTGGCTGAGTCCTTGATAGGGCTTGGAGTTCATGCATCTTGTTGGCCAGTGATATCACATTGCCCATTATGATCGATGGAAGAGATGGTTTGAATTTCCTCTTTCTCTGTCTCTGTTTTGCTCCCGCTCTGCATCCACGCTTCTTGTGCTTTAGCTCATTTGGGATTTGTGGCTTCAGTTGAGGTATTATTTCAGCCTTCCCAATGTTAATCACCTGCTCCCGATTGTAAACCAGCTTGTTGCCATGGTTATGCATCATAACAAATACTAAAAAGTGAAAAAAGTGAAAAAATAACAGTAAAAATCCTCTAAGCTTTGCAGCACCAGAAACAGAAAAGTAAAAGGTCCAATAAATACAGTTTTTCTTAAGATGCTAGAAGAAAAAATGTCCAAAAAAGGCAAAACTTACATGTAGTTAACAGAGCTACTCCAACATGCAGCCACCCAGAGCAGCGCGAGCTGACCTGTGCCAGGGACTTTGCAGCAGTCCTCATACTAAGCAAGCATGTAGCAACAGTTGAGAGGAAAACTCCCTTTTAACAGGATTAAACCTCCAACAGAACCTGGATCAGTGTGAGCAGCCGTCCGCCATGACTCGCTGGGGTTTGAGAAGACAGAATCATGTGCGGTGTTATATTCTGCGGCGGTTTCGTGACCTCGTTGGACCAGCTGTATGGAATGCTTTTGCTGCCGGTTCACGTCTAAAACACTCCCACTGAGAAGGGAGCTTGCAGGTAAATAAAGTTTATTCTGCTACGTGCCGCTTACACAGTGGAAAGGCTGTTGGTGTAAAGGTTTGTGTAATGCAGTGTTACTTAAGCCTAATTTACAAGTCTCCGTCTGCGTCGGGACAGACGCACACAACGCCATTATCTGTCCTTGCAAGGGCTCTCCAGTAGGCTCGCAAGGACGAACGGAGTCAAACTCTTTTCTAAACATCCGTCCGTCGAGACAGAGAACGCAAGCTTGTCATTGGTCAGGACACCTCTGTCGTCTACAGCACCGCCATTGCACCCTCAAAAACACGAGAGCTGAGGATATCTATGTTATGGCCCTCGCCTCTGGAACGAGCTGCCAGAGGACCTCAGGGCCGCAGAGAACGTTCATGTTTTTAAGTCAAGACTCAAGACCCATCTTTTTAGGTTAGCTTTTATCTAAATATTTTCTACAGTTTTATTTCTCGTTTTACATGATTACATTTTATTACTTGCTTTGCATGTTCTATATGATTATATTTTAGCACAGTTTTATTATTTTACTGTTTATATCATTTTATTTATTACTTATTTTCTAATTTTTGTCATTTATATTAGCTCTTTTATTACATTTTTACTCATTTTAATCCAGTGTTTCCTCTGTGGGGGCCCTCTGCCCTGGGAGCGGTGGTCGACTGTAGCTTCCTGGGCGCTCTATAGGTGGGGGTCTATGCTCCCCCTCCAATGAGTGCCCTGACTTAGTGTGGAAGACCTGATGCTGCCGGGACAGACGGCTCCTCTGATGGCGTTTCCTTGCGTTACCATACCTGGCTCATCTGGACTCAGCCTAATATAATATTTACTTGTGTGTGTGTGTGTGTGTGTGTGTGAGTCTGTGTGTGTGTGCGTGTGCGTGTGCGTGTGCTTGCATATGTTTGTTAATGTTTTTAACCTGTTATGGGAATCTGGGGTCATTTTATAAAGCAC